AGGGAGGGAGGGAGGGAGGGAGGGCACATCTACTTATCTGTGGATGTTATCAATGTATAAGGATTACTAAATACTGTTGCAATGATGGCCTTAGTTCTACATCTATCATGCTTTTGCAAAGAAAAACAATATCTCCATCATTCTTATTTTTTAATTATTAATGTTACTTGCTTTGGCTTTATTAATTAATTTAATTTTTGCAGTTTAACTCTATTGTTTATTAGGATTGCCTGCTATTCCTGCATGTTTCAGGTGGTGGCATCTCTTCTCCAAGAATTTGCTTTGCTTTGTTTTGTAGGTCAGAGTAGTAGATGTCCCAGGAGTCTCAATGGAGCTTTGTGGTGGAACACACGTTACCAATACTTCCGAAATCCGTGGCTTTAAAATAATTTCTGAGCAGGGTATTGCTTCCGGAATCCGGCGTATCGAAGCTGTTGCCGGTGAAGCCTTTATCGAATATGTTAATGCACGTGATAGCTACTTGGGAAACTTATGTTCTATGCTCAAAGTATGTCTGTGTTTTTTCTTCTTCTTCAACATCATTAAACCTATCTAATTAGTTTTATGAATTCTTTTTTTCTGTTCTTTCTTGCTGAGTGTGCCTATGGGACCACAGAAATGGAAGATTCATATGATTTACATATCTAACACCGGCATTTACATTTATTACACTTAGGGTCTGTTTGGCCTGTTGCAGCTTATCCAACTTATCCTCAACTTATCCCGATAATCTGCTGATCAGCTGACTGAGCGTTTGATTTGTGCATTTGGAAAACAGATGTTTCTGGATTAATGACCATTATGACATGCAACAATTGTGATGTTTGCAATAGAAGTGCAAGGACTACACATTTAATATTTAAACACCAATAAAATCACTTCATAACCGTACAAAAAAAAGATATATATCTCACTTAAGAGTGAGTATCAAGGGACCGTATAAAAAAGAAAAAAAAATATATTAAAATTACAATTAAAAGTATAATAATATTCATTTTAAAGTACAGAAGAAGCATGTTACAAGCAACGTCGTCCGGTTGGGATGCCATCGAACCCCAAGCAACGTTGTCCGATTGGGATGCCATCGAACCCCAAGCAATGTAGTTCGCTTGCGATGCCATTGAACCCCGCTCACTATATACAGTAGAATCAGGCGGACTGTTCGCCAACCTGAAGAACTCACACCTATTCAGACCGTCTTCTCACCGCGGGCACCTGTAGAACTGTCACTTGTAGTTATGTGACCGACATGACATGAGTAACAAAGACGAAAGTCCGCAGCGGCTTAGCAGTCGCCCGGAGTTCCCCGAAATCATGAAGCTCAGCTTATTACAATTATTCAAGGGAAAACACGTTAGCCATAAAATTAGATGAAATAAAAAAAGCGCTGAAATTGAAAATAAGAAACAATATTGCGTAAAGAAACGAAAATCTGATCAAAAGAAAAATAGCAGGCGCGAGTACGAAAAAAAACAAGCCCACGAGAAAAATACATAAAAAACTCAATTATAAACTAAAGAAAAGGCAATCACCAGAAATTTTCAAATCCAAAAAATGTAAGAAACAAAAATATACTAAACATAAAATGAAAAAAAATAGCGGGTGTGAGGCCTCAGAGAAGTAACTAACTAACCAACGAGTCTGTCACAACATGTAGACTATAGACTTTGTAAAAAATGAGTTCTTGGTTGTCTTTAACTCATGTGGGACCAACGTCCAGTGCCATGTGTGCATATCACAAAAAAAGGTCATCCAATACATCCTTATATACCAATGCACCGACAAGAAGAAAGAACCTTGGTGCATTCATTAGGATTTCACATGCAACACCAACGGGTAACCCACGGCCTGTGGCACATATGTATATCACCAAAAAAGATCATCCACATGGATCCTCATAAACTGAAACACTAACAAAAATAGAGGATTCTGGTTGCCTTTATCAGGATTTCACGTGTACCACTAAAACAATGACGAACTGGCTATCCATAAGAACTCATAAGGTCATATGTTTCGTCACTAACCAAAACAAAACACCACTAGGAAAAAAGCCACCAAAAGATAACACTCGTATTGATAGTAAAGTAAAGCACCACTAGAAAAATAACATAACCTAATATAGAAAAACTTTTGAAGGATAAAACACAAGCCACCATAAACACAACTCACACACCCAAAAACAGGAGAGCACACCCAAGCCACCATAAACACCACTCACATCCCTCACACACCCAAAAACAGGAGAGCACACCCAAACCACCATAAACACCTCTCACATCCACCACCAACTCACACACCCAAAGCCATGAGAGCACACCCAAAGCTATGAGAGCACACCCAAGCCACCATAAACACGACTCACATCACCACACACAAACACACCTCACACATCCACCACCAACTCACACACCCAAAGCCAGGAGCACACACCCAAGCCATCTCACACATCCACCACAACCAATCCACCACACACAAGCACACCTCACACATCCACCGCCTACTCATACACCCAAAGCCAATTCATGAAGAACACCAAGCTAGCCAACGTGCCAGGAAACCGAGCTGCACTATGCCGAAAAACCAAGCAAGCCAACGTGCCAAAAAAACACAAAAGGTAGAAAAAATGAAAAGGACCTACACTTTCGCAAAAAAACAGGTCAGCCAACGTCCACCACAACCAATCCACCTCACACAAGCACACCTCACACATCCACCAACAACTCACACACCCAAAGCCAATTCATGAAGAACACCAAGCCAGCTAACGTGCCAGGAAACCGAGCTTGAACCAATCCAAAAAACCAAGCCAACCAACGTCCCAAGAAACCACAGAAGAAAAAATGAAACCGAGCTACACTGTGTCAAAAAACCAAGCCAGCCAACATGCCAAATAAACACAAAAGGCAGAAAAAATGAAAAGGAGCTGCACTTTTGCAATCCCCAATATAAAACAGTGCATCAAGCCAAAGAGACCCAATCAAAATACCAATTCATCCATATTCTTCACAGAATGCTTGTCAGTACTAACACAAAACAGGGAAACCAAATCAAAGAAATAAAAAATGTCAATCCTTCAATTTGCTTGAAAGAATGCTTGCTACCACTCACACAAAACCAATTCATAAAGAACACCACAAAAGTTACAGAGAACCACCTTACCGGATCCCAGAAAGGAGAAAAGAGAAGGAGACCTTACTGGATCGCAAAGAGGAGAAAAGAGGAGACCTTACCGGATCGCAGAGAGGGGAAAAGCGAAGGAGAATCTCAACAGAGAGATCCAGGGGATGAGAGCAGAGAAGACAAACCTAGGGCACGGGATGAGGATCACAGAGGAAGAAGGAGAATTGCAACAGATAGATCCAGGAATCGCAGCTAGGGCACGGGATGTCGCTGGGGTAATATCGCAAAAGTTAAAAAGATACACGGGTCGCGGGCTTCAACCCGCGGGCGATGTCTAATAGATAAGATACACGTGTATTCTCGAACGCACGCCAACCGCACAAAACAAACATTCCCAGTGCGTTTTGCAAACACATAAGCAGCCCCAAACGTACCTTTAGTTGTCAGAAAGCTATGCATAAAAATGTGTATTTCACTTTTAAAAAGCAAGTAAAAGTGATAGTAAAGATTTGAGAATTATGCATCTAATATAGAAGTTTAGGTGTTTAGATATGCCAATGCATAAGAATTGTGTGGTACATGTAAATGTCCCTTTTCCCTTACAAGCAATATTTTTGGTTTCTCTCTTCAAGTCTCATACACATCGTCTGCTTCTTTTGCCAGGTAAGAGCAGAAGATGTTGCTGCTCGAGTGGAAAGCATCTTGGATGAGCTAAGAGCATCGAGGAATGAGGTTTCGACACTCCAAAACAAATTGGCGATGCTGAAAGCATCTGCTGCCAAGGAGAAGGCCATCACTGTCGGAACATCTAATATCAGGTGATTATGAATATGTGAAATTTACAATTCTTATGTATATACATACCTCACATCTAAACTTTCATATTTACCTACACTGCATTTTGGTGCTTCAAACCTATGCATGAAAAAGTGTATTTCACTTTTAATAAGTGATAACATTGCTATTTTTAATGCAATATTAAAATTTTGAGTGCTATATATATATAAATATGAAAGTTTAGGTGTGAGATATATAAATACATAAGAATTGTGTGCCGTACCCCGAATATGAATATTTATAACCCAACACACTTCCCTTTTACTCCCAACCTTAACTTTGCACAACTATATTTAAATCAAATATGAATGTTTCTCAGATTTATCATCGAGAACATGGGCGACACGGACTTTGATGCGCTTAAGAGTGCAGCTGAGTTCCTGATTGATTCGCTGCAAGATCCTGCAGCTGTGGTTTTGGGGTCATGCCCGGGCGAAGGGAAGGTGAGTTTGGTTGCAGCATTTAGTCCTGGTATTATTGGGATTGGACTCCATGCTGGGAAATTCATAGGAAGCATAGCTAAGATTTGCGGAGGCGGCGGAGGTGGAAGGCCTAACTTCGCTCAGGCAGGTGGAAAGAAACCTGAGAATTTGCCGGATGCGCTCGAGAAAGCTCGATCAGAGCTCATCGCTGCTTTCACTGATATGAAATAGGTGAAATTTGGAGTAAAGTTGCAATTCAACTTATCTTGCATTATTGTTCATGATGTCCTGAAGATTTATGTGGTTTCAAAGTTATTGCTCAGTGTAACATATATAAAATATAGTATAATATCATATTACCCATAGTTTGTGTACATTTGCAGTATGCGTTTGTGTTAGATTGATCAACTCTTCTGTGAATATTTGAAGTGAATTTGAACTGGAAAGAGTTATACAATCAAACTTTGAGTTGCATAAGAAATTTTCGATATTAATGCATGTATTGTCATAAAATTGCTTAAATCATCATTGATCCTACCCCTCCTATGTATTAACTGAGCAATTCCACATATTGCAAATAAGACCATGAAAGTCTTAAGAAAACTTGATTCTGAACGTCATACCACCCGATTCCTATGTAATTACGTATTTAACACTGAAATTTTAATTTCTGAACGTCGCCTTTCCTATGCACGAAAAAGTGTTTCATTTTGAAAAGTCAAATGATATTTTTTATGTGGTATGTGTTGTATTTTATGGTGTTTTTTAATTAGCGGTACTATGATTTTTTGACTTTATTTACTTGTATGTTTAGCCTTCTATAAAAGAGACTTAAGGGTCTGTGAGAGCTGCCTGGTGAGAACTCTCGAGTTGTAATCTTAAGTCATTTTTCTCTCTTTCATTCGGTGCTAGTGGAATCTCTCCCCATGGATGTAGGTGAATTAACTTAACATCAACAAAAACAATAACAATGCCTTAATCCCACTACGTGGGGTTAGCTACATGAATCCTTTTTCTCCATTGCGTCCTATTTAGTGTCATATTTTCATTTAGTTTTAGTAAATTAAGATCATTTTTAATACAATAAGCACAAGTCTTCCTAGGTCTACCTCTGCCTTTCTTAACACAAGTCAAATCTAAAACATCTACTCTCCTAATCGGATCATCAGATGGTCGACGTAAATTTTTTGTTTTTGCATCAAATTAACTTAACATCGAATTATATAAATCTTTTGTGTTTGATTGTTGTGTGAATTCACACACTTCCTCATTGTTTTTGCATAACAATTAGTATCAGAGCGTGTGGTTTTTGCTTTGAGAATCAACGACAATAATTGGATCGTGTGTCTTGGCATTGATAAAAGCATATCCAGTAGTGTTGCTAGCGATCTTCGCAGCAGGTCGTTCGACGTGCTTTGCTGGTAGATTTGACGGTTGCGGCGATAATCTCGATGGCATTGTCATTGCTCGAAGAGCCTATCCGGTGAGCTTTGTCTGGGGGTAGGCCGGAGGTGGTTCCGATGAGGTTTGGTGCGGAATAGGCAAAGGAAAGTAAACTTATGGTTTAGCTTGCGTGGGAGCCAAATAGACAAGACTTTTATTTCCTTCTAGATTTACGTCATAGGAAATGAAACTTTTATTTCCACAAGAGGAATATCCCTTTAAAAAAAGAAAAGAAAAAAAGGAGGGTTTTTTTTTTCTGAAATTTATTTTTCAGATAATATATTTTTTTTTTTTCCAGGTATTTTGTTTGACTATTTTTTTCTAGGAAAGAGATTCTGCTAGTGGTAGACATGAATGATAAATGATGGCTAGGTCATCAACACCCCCTATGATAGTAAAAAAGTCAATTCATTAGGTGGTTGCACATCCTGTCAAAATTAATGTGACAAAATTTGATCGCAAATGAAACTTTGGCTCATGGAGATATGAGGTGATGCATGCATTGTTTTCTCTAGATCTGGAGGAAGTATTTGATAGCGAGGAATGTACTGAAGAAATGTTGGTTGAAGATGAATAGGAGAGCTTGTGGCTTAATATGAAATTGTTTGACCCAGGAGATCAAATATGGGGTGATGATGGAGACTTCTGCAGGGAAATTGTGGAGGATGCTGGAGAACAAATATCTCTTAAAGAGCGTGGAGAATTGTCTACATATTAATCGTCGACTCTATAAATTTTTAGATAAGACGGGGAGTTACTATTGATGGGCACTTGAATGACTTCACAAAACTATTGACAGATCTGTTAAATTTGGATGAGGAGGTTGTATATGAAAACAAGATGCTTTTTCTATTGAATTTGCTCCCGAATAAGTACTAAAACTTCACTATGACACTCATTCATAGGAAAGAGGTTTTGAATTATAGCGAATTGACTACGACGCTGTTAAATCATTTCTTCCGTCGAAGAGACAAGGAATCCGCAAAAATGGAATCGGTTGAGATACTTACACTCCAACGTGACAGATCCGATAAGAAGAAGAATTTGACAAAAAAATGTGGCAGCGATGACACTTCTCAAAAGTGGGGCAAGTATCATAGGCGTAGTTAGGAAAAATCAGTGTGCTTACTTTTGAGAGACTACTCATTAGAAGAAAGATTGTTTGAAGCTGAAGGAGAAGGAAAATAAATTTGCATATGAGGCAAAAGCAAATTTCATTATCGAAAGATGTGAAGAGGAGAATTTAAATGTATCATTATCTGTTGTATTTCACAGTTTGTTTACAGATGATTCATATTGAATTCTGAACACAAGTGTTATCTATCATATTTGTCCTCATCTACGATGGTTCTGCACGTATAAGGAGTTGGATAGCAGTGCAGTGACTATGGACAACGATTAAACTTGTCGTACTATTAGTTTTGGGAGTATCTTTATGAGGTTGCATGATGTTACAGTGAGAGAGCTGACTGTTATTAAATATGTTCAAAATATCAGGAAGAACTTGTTGTCAGTTGAAGCTTTAGAGTCCAAGGGCTATAAGGTCGTTATTGAGGCAGGAGTTCTGAGGATATGTTGTGGAGAAATGACTTTTATGAAGGGAGTTTGTCATCATAATCTTTACTATCTTCAGGGTAGTACAATGACTGAAATGACTGTTGTTGTTAATAATTCTTCTAATGCCATTATGTTGTGGCATATGCGGCTAGCTCATGCTTGAGAGGCTTCACTTCAGGCTTTGGTGAAGAAATGATTGATCAAAAGAGCGAGCACTTATAAGATAGATTTCTATAAACATTGTGTGTCTGACAAGAAGACACAAGTATTTATTGGGACTGTCATCCAAAATACAAAAGGTTTTTTACAGTATGTTCAAACAGATATTTGGGGTCTGAGGAGGAAAACATCAATCAACGGGTGGAGAAACTGTCTCTTTTATTAATTATTATTTCAGGTATGTTTGGATGTACACCATGAAGCGCAAAAACAATATGCTGGAAATTTCATAACTTTGAAGAAGTGGATTGAGACTCGTACTGGTAAAAAGATTTGGTGTATTAAATTAGACAATGAGGGCGAATACACTTCAGATGTGTTCTTGCAAAGTGCCAAAGAGCTAGAATAGAGCACCACTTCACTGTCCGAGAAACACCACAACAAAATGGGGTGACAGAGAGGATGAATCACACTTTGATAGAGAAAGTTTGGTGTATTTTTTTCTAATGTTGGGTTGGATGGAATCTATTGGGTCAAGGTCATAGAATATGCTAGTCACTTGATGAACCATCTACCTTCTACAGCTATTGAGAAGAAGACCCTAAAGGATATGTGGTCGGGGCATCTTGCTAGAGATTATGATGACATGAGAGTGTTTGAGTGTCCAACTTACTAACACGTGCATAATGATAAACTGAAACCACGAGCAAATAAGGTGATCTTCATTGGTTTTAGGCGTGGAGTCAACGGCTTTAAGCAGTATGATTAGAAAGAAAGGAAGATTGTCGTTAGTAGAGATGTAACATTAGATGAGGTAAGCTTTTTAAAAGATTAATACTCGAAGTGGGTGAAGAGTTCAACTGGGACCACAAATATGCAACAGAATTTGGAGTTTCATGCAACTCCATTTGTTCCATAGAGTTTGTCTACTATGACTCAAACTTTTGAATCAGATACAACTCATGAGGTATTTGTTGATATTACTTAAGAGAAGGTGGAAGAACTTGTTGAGGATGACATTCCTGATTACAAGGAGCAGGACGAGGTAGCAGAATGTCCCAAAATAAGCTTGGTTGAGGGATCACATTGCATTTGCATTTTCAGTCATAGAGACAAGAATTCTTTGTCACTACAAAGAAGCAATGGAGAGCCCAGACAGTGATATTTGGAGAGCGACAATGATGAAGAGATGGAGTCTCTTTGGAAGAATGATACTTGGAGGTTGGTGAAGCTGGTGTGAGGTACAAGGCAAAATTAGTATCGAAAGGCTCTGCACAACGAGATGAGATTAATTACGACGAAGTGTTCTCCCCAGTAGTCAAGCATCTCTCAATTCATGTTCTCTTAGAACTTGTAGCACAATGCGGTCTGATCTTGGAACAACTTGATGTGAAGACTACATTCCTACACAAAGAATTGCAAGAGGAGATCTACATCTTGCAGCCGCCTGGAGATGGAGCTTAAAAAAGATTTGTTTGCAAGCTAAATAATTTTTTGTATGGGTTGAAGCAGTCACTATGATAATGATATAAAAAATTTGATCAATTCATGACTGGACATGAGTACACGAGGAGCCAGTAAGATCATTGTGCATATTTCAAGAAGCTGACCAACGATGAGTTCATTTACTTTCTTTTATATGTTGATTGCATCTGTCGGTCAGATTGGGGTTGATAAGATGAAGAATCAACTGTCTGAAGCTCATAGAATTCTTGGCATAGAGATTCTCATGGACAAGTCAGTCGGAAAGGTTTGAATTTCGTAATAAGTTTATGTTCGGAATGTGTTGAAGAAATTTGGGAATGATGACTCAAGTAAGGCAATGAGTCTACCATTTTCATTTCACTTTCAGTTGAGTTTTGATCGGTTTCTTGAAGATGATCAGGAAAGGAAAGATTTGTGATTGGTTTCTTATGCTAGTGTAGTAGGCAGTCAGATGTATGTCATGGTTTGTATTTTACTAGACATTGCACTAATAGTTGGTGTTGTGAGTAGGTTCATGCATGATCCAGAAATGAGTCATTGTTGTGAAGAGTATTCTAAGGTATTTGAAGGGTGCATTTGATGTTGGTTTGGTGTTTGAGAGACGATCATTTAATGTAGAAATGTATGTAGGCTACACTGACTCATACTATGCAAGTGATATGAATAGGTAGAGATCTACAACTAGTTATATATTCACATGGGTAAGAGGTACAATCAATTGGAGGTCAGTTAT